AAAATCCAGCCACGGGTATCCCGTGTGACTCACTGGTGGGCGAGCATGTGGTTCCGGCGTCTCAAGGTGCCACGTCATTCGAAACGGTCGCCGCTGCATTTGATTGGCGCTGCGCCGTGACCGCGGAGAAAACAGCTGCAAAGCATCCAGCAACGAGCGGTGCCGGCTCCTCGCGGTGTATTTGTAGAAGCGTCGCAGACGCATGCACGCAATGCGCCCAACTTCAACGTCGTGCTCAAGTAGGTGCTCGTGGTGGGAGACTTTTCATTCTTGCATTTCCTCTCCTCGAATACGATGCTCAGCTTTTCGCACTTGTTGTCGGCGGCGGCCATGGTCGCGCTCGCGTCGGCGGCGGCCGAGCCCAAGGACATTTACTGCGCGGGCCCGGTCCTCGAGACGATCCAAGACGCGCGGCTCTACAACGACAGCAAGCACTTTGTGGACATGGTCATGAAGGCGTCGCCGCAGACGGTCCTCGACGCGTTCACGCAGCTGCCCGACCACTCGAACGCGACTCTCAAGGCCTTTGTCGCCAAGTACTTTGACGAGCCGTCGACCGACCTCATCGAGATTGCGCTGCCCGACTTCAAGGAGGCGCCGGCGCCGCTCGCGTCCATCCAAGACGCCGAGATGAAGGCGTGGGCGCTCGAGATCAACAAGCTCTGGAAGCTCCTCGGCCGCAAGCGCGTGCTGCCCGAAGGCTACTACGGCTCGCACCTCCCGACCAAGCACAACCTCGTCGTGCCCGGCGGCCGCTTCCGCGAGAGCTACTACTGGGACTCGTACTGGATCATCCACGGCCTTCTCAAGAGCGACATGGCTGAGACCGCCAAGGGCGTCGCGCAGAACCTCCTCGACTTTGTCGCGGACTATGGCTTTGTGCCCAACGGCGGCCGCATCTACTACCTCAACCGCAGCCAGCCGCCACTCCTCTCGGACATGGTGCGCATCATCTGGGAGGCGACCAAGGACGACGCGTTCCTCAAGCAAGCACTGCCGCTCCTCGAGAAGGAGTACGCGTTCTGGATGGCAACGGGTGCGGCGTCGCACCGCGTCGAGGTCCACGCCGCGGACGGCACCACCCACGTACTCAACCGGTACTTCTCAGCCGGCACGGAGCCGCGTCCCGAGTCGTTCCGCGAAGACATGGAGACGGCCAAGCTCGTCCCCGAGGCGAGTCGCGCGGGTCTCTACCAAAACATTATCGCGGCGGCCGAGAGCGGCTGGGACTTTTCCAGCCGCTGGTTTGAAGACGGCAAGACCATGAAGTCGCTCTACACGACGCAGGTGGTACCCGTAGACCTCAACGCGATCATGCACAAGTTTGAGGTCAACCTCGGGGTCATGCACCGCCACTTTGGCAACGCCGCAAAGGCATCGACGTTCGACGCCGCGGCGAAAGCGCGTCGCGCGGCCATTGACGCGATCCTCTGGAGCGACGTGAGCGGCGCGTGGAAGGACTACATCCTCAGCACCAAGACACACTCGAGTATCGTGTCGATCTCCGACTACACGCCGCTGTGGGCGCAAGCGTACGACGTTTCGGACGCCAAGCGCAACGCCAAGGTGCTCTCGAGCCTCCAAACCTCCGGTCTCGTCCTCGTCGCAGGCATTCAGACGACGACGGCGCACACGGGCCAGCAGTGGGATGCCTACAACGCGTGGGCGCCCGAGATTGACTTTACCGTCGAAGGCCTCTTGCACATGAACTCGTCCGACGCGACGGCGTTTGCGTCCAAGATCGTGACCGACTGGGTCCAAACGGGCCACTCGGCGTTCCAGAAGACGGGCTACATGCTCGAAAAGTACAACGCGTCGGTCGTCGGCGGCCTCGGCTCGGGCGGCGAGTACGATCTCCAGTTTGGTTTTGGCTGGTCCAACGGCGTCATCCTCAAGTTCCTCACCGACTACCAAGATCTGTACCACCACGACCGCTGCTAACTTGTCGATAATGGGTTCTATGTCGATGCTTGCTTGCAGTGGTGTTGTGTGGAAAGCGGCGTGTGGTCGAGGCGATCGGACAGGCTGCTCGGGCAAGCGACACTCCCAGTAGGTCTCTCTCCCACGAGAACCCCAACCCCAATCTAAAGATTGCCAGAAGCAGCATCCTGTACATCCGTTCCAACGAAGATCGTATGTATATTGAGTGACCTGTGCTATGCAAGAGTGTCGACTAGGCGCCGAGCCAGTGGTGTTCGCCAAACTGCCAGCCAATGGTCGCGCCGGACGAAATACCGAGGAAGAGGCCGAGACACATGATGGCGCCGGCCGACTCGCGGTCTTCCTGGGCCACGAGGCGCGGCCCGAGGCCAAACGTGATGGTGCTGAGCACGCCCGTCGAGAGACCGAGGAGAAAGTTGACAAAGAGCTGCCAAAAGATGTTGAAATCGTGCGCGGACGCCATGCAGTAGAGCGGGTTGAGGCCGCCGCCCGGGAGCCCGAGCAAGAGTAGCACAAAGAGGCCCCAGCGCGCGATCGACCAGACAAAGCACGACGACAGCGTAAAGTACTTGTACAAACACGGCGCGAGGATCCGGCCGGCAAAGTCGCCGTAGTTGTAGCTGAGCAAGACGCCGTTGATGTACCAGCCGCCCCACGTCGCGGGACCCGCGAGCTGGAAGCCCGACGAGATGCCAATGCCGGGGAAGGCCGTGAGCGAGCACAAGAAAATGAGAAACTGGCACGCGACCGGCACCGCGATCGTCGTCAAGATGCGCCAGAGACGCGCCCACATGACTGGGAACGACTCGCGCGACGCCTCCCGGCGCGCCGTCTCGGCGTCGTTGAGCTCCATCAAGTAGGCGACCGCGGGCAGCTGCAGCAGCTTGTAAAAGAGAAACACGGCCAGAAAGCACACGACGATGAGGACGCTAAAGAAGATGTAGAACGAGACCTTTTGGATCTGCATCGTGTCGGCCGGCGCAGGGTTCAGGCCGCCGACGCAGAGCTGAATGAGCGTGCTCAGCGTCACGTTGATAAAGCCGGACGTGCCGTTGCCCAGTTGAATCGCGTTCGTGAAGGCTGCGTCCGGGAAGAGCGACGAGAGCGCGTACAACGCCGCTTCGGAGAGCGAGTTGGTGAAGCCCACGAGCCCAAACGCGACCAAGACGACGATCGCGCCCGTCTCGGGCGTCGCGTCGCACGCGTCTTGGAGGATGATGGCGAGCGCGCAGAGAATGTAGATGGCGTACCCGAGGCGGACGCGCGTCCACATGCCGAGCTTCTTGTCGAGGCCGAAGAAGACCTGGAAGAAGTGACCCACAAACATGGGCCACGTCGAGACGGGTGTCGTCAGGAACGCAAAGTTGAAGGACGTCGACGCGAAGCGCGACTGGTAGTAGTTTTGCGCCGACAAGCACGTGTAGTACGCCCAGAGGCACGACGCGTTGAGGAAGAGGAGCGACCACCAGAGAAAGCGGCGATGCGTCGAGAGCGCCTCGACGACGTGCGTCGGGAGCTCGTCTTTCGTCGCCTCCGAGTCGTTGACGGAGAGGAACTTGGCGTCTTTGGGCGGCGAGTCCATCGTGCGAGCCAGCAAAAGTGGGAATGAAATCGCTCTGTCGATAACCAGAGAGAGACTGACCGCAAGAGATGCGACCTCGGTTCAGCAAGCCTGCGTTCGAGTAGCCAAGGATGTCGATCGGACGGGGCCAGGCACGTTGTCAGCATCTCGATTCGCATCGATGTGCTGCATGCACCTTGACAGGGTCTTGTGGCAACGCTCAATGGTGCACTGTCTATAGAGCTCTGGGCTTGTAGACATCGCATTATGATGTTGTCCTGTGCGCTATCTGCCCCTGCACGGAGCACGATCTTAGTTCCGGTACAGCCCAGTGCGTGGAACCAAGTCGCACGCGATTGTTTGAAGCATCGTTTCAAAGTAGCTACAGTAATTTCTCGACAGATACCGCACGGGGTCGGAGCCACGTAACCAATAAGATAGTGCAAAGAACCGCAACACCCACCGATGAAGATGAGATGCAACTGTGTTTCCAACGTGTTACGCGCCGCATGATCGATGGGCAGAGAGCCCTGGCGTGCGAGTCTCTGGATTGGGTCCAGCCAAATAGGGGCAGTCCATGGAGGCAGTGATTTCTCAACTCTGTTGGCGTGATAGGCCCCGGTCTCTCTCGATTGCGAAGATTGGTCAACGTTTCTATTGCATCGCATAGCAAACTGCACATGTGGAGCATGTCGACGCGGACACGAGTTTGCACATGACGTGGCAGCCCTCGAGCGCCGCAAGCATCACATTTCTGTTTCAGCCAATCAGAACGCAGCACTTGGAATCAAGTCGTTTCTTCCACCGTTGGACGACGCTTCATGGAGCCTTGGAGCTATTGCGTGTGCCTTGCGTAGATCTGGCCGCTAGAGCGTGCAAATATACCCTCCCGAGCGTCAAAAGAACCAGCCTGCAACGACGCTCTGGAGACAAGGTGTCCGTTCTGTCATCCGAGAGCAGACCGAGTTGGCAACATTGCTCTTTGATGCTTTTTTATCTTAGCGATACATTATTCTACTGTAGGACGCGCTGCACTAGTGAAGGTCGTCGTTGCCAGCCACTCAAGTGTCGTTGGGTCGGCGACCTTCACTCGGAGCGATCCAGACCAGCACTCAATCACCATCGCACCAGATACTCGCCAACGCACTTTGCAATTGACTTTGCAACACTCAACCATGTCGGGCTTGAAGACGGCGTTTCGCCACTACCAGCAGTACTTGAAGGCGCCCGTGCCGGGTTGCAGCATCGCGCACGTCGACGACAATATCTTCCACGTGAGCACGCGCCTCGTCGACGGTATCTTTTGCGGCATCTCGGTGCACTGGGAGCTCAAAATCCCGCCGTCGTACCCGCACTCGCCGCCGTTCGGGCGCGTTCTGCCCGACTATGCTTTTACGAACGAGTACCACTCGCACGTTTTTCCGGACGGCATCTGCGTCGACGTGCTTGCCAACCACGAGTACATGCACCAGAGCGCGTCTCGGTACGGCGGCTGGACGCCCAGCAGCAACCTGACGCTGCTCATGATCTACATGCAAGCCTTCTTGGCCGACCCCGACTATAGCATGCCGTCGGCCGCGGCCATTGCGCGGCTCCGAACCATGGACGCAGCGTACACGTGCGCCGTCTGCGGCCACGACCCCGCGACGATCAAGCTCGAAGACACGGACGAGGTTGAGTCAGAGATCAAGACGCTGACGCCGCACCTCGAGCGCGTCCGCCGCGAGATGGTGTGTCCGATCCGGATGGAAAACCTCGTCGAGCACAACGTGCGTCTTGGGTACCCACTGCGGGTCGACGCGATGCCGCGCCGCATCCAGATCTATCTCTACCCCGAGATCATGTCGCGGGATGCATTTGACGAAGCTTTGGACGCTGCGACGACGCGACATGTGCCTCTGCGCACGCCGACGGGGCAGAGCTACACGGACTGGCTGCCATTGTACTTGCACCCGTCGCACTTTGCACGCCACGGCCGCAACGTCTTTGCGCCCGTCGGCACCATGTCGTATCTGGACGTACTGCTCCGCGCGATGAACTCGCAGATCGTGGCCGTCATGCAGGGCAACGAGCACGAGTCCGAGGCCGCGATCATCGCGTACGCCAACGTGCTGCGCCTTGCGAAAGCGTACCTCGCCGCGATGCCGTCCGCGCAGGCGACGCTCAATAGCCAAGTGGCGTCGTTCGTGCGGACGCCATCGCAGCGGCTCAAGGCGGCGGTGCCGGACCTCGGCGAGTTCTTCATCAAGATCTGCCTCTCGAGCTCGCGCAACCACGACTTTTCGAATGCTGACACAAAGGCCGCGCTCTTTGGCGAGCACTTTGCGCGCCAAGTGCGCTGGATCCGGCAGGCCGACGCGGCGTGCGTCGACTTTGGCTCCGAGTGTCCGAACCGCCTCGGTCGGCTCTTTGCGGCGAGCGAGACCTCGAACCGCATGCTCACGTTTGCGATCGAGATGTCGCGCACGTTTGGCGGCGCCGACTTTGGTACACATATGGACGCGCACTACGGCCTCCCGCCCAGCGCGGTGCTCAGCGCGTTCCAAGACCGCATCAAGCGCATCAAGTCGAGTCTGACCAACTACAACATTTTGATGCAGGCGTGGGGCTACAGCGACCAGGTCCAGTCGCCGGACGCGATGCTCGCCGTCTTGCGCGCGGCTGTCGACCAGTCGGCGCGCGCCGGGTACGACGTCTCGGGGCATCGCAGCCAAGCCAATGGTCCGCGAGGCGGTCACAACCACAGCCAGCGTGGTCGAGGTCACAACCAGAATCGTCGGTATTAGTGTCTGTCGTGTGTAATTTATGAACTCGTTGTGGAATATGTCTTCGTCTTGAACCGGTTGACCTCGGCGCCACGGTTGTGTCTTGAAAGAGCCGCTCGTCGGTCCAAGGTCGAGGCGTTGGGTCCAGAGCCATGGACCGTGGTGGCGCCTTCTGAAGC